AACTTGGGATCTTGTCCGAAAACGTAATAAGCATTAAAGTTAATTAAATAAAGCATAATCAACAGATTAAAGAGACAGCCACGCCATCGTACATCTCCTCCTCAATGCCCTCTGGGATCGGCTCTAGGTTCATCTGTCTGATCACCTACGGACAGCAAAAAGGAAAACAACGCTATCCGCTCAGCATTGACGCTGAGTGACACTCCATTGTAGCACAAGAATAAACATAATAATTCAATGATTAGATCGTGCATATGTTTATCCTTTTAATAAAAATCAATTCAACTTTACGTTCGGTTCTTTAGACGGTTGACCAACAGTCAACTTATTTTCTTTCTTTTCAAAATGATTTAGGTGTTACGGGTTTCTAATTAACTCTTTGACCACCGGTCAAACCAATTTAGACTTTCACCAAGTCAACCCACTTAACATTTAATGCCTATGACGGAGATAGCCTCAATCCGTAATACCAAAGATAGCCTCAATTCGGTGGAGGTAGGATCCCTCGGGCGATAGCCTCAAACCCAAGATCACAGAGCCTCGTGCGCACGTCTTAACCTCACTAACCAGGCCCTGCAGCCGCCCGAGCAATGGCCAGTTTCTATGTTCAACATATAAACCAATTGACCCTAATTACCGATTAGAAGTAATTAATTAACTTAACTAATTCATTAAAGTCTTGGATTTAACCATCTGGTCAAACCTACGTCAACAGAATATCCAGTCAAAGTCCAAGTCAAACAGGACCTAACCCAAGTCAAGGTCAAACCTGTTCAGTCAATCCATAATCCTCAACAATACAATTCAAGTAATCAATTTAATTCGATTAACCAATTTAGCCAAATTATAGCATAAATATATATAACGATCCAAACCATTAAATCTATTCTAAACGCTATTAACTTCATAGTACGGACCTGGATTTCGCCGAAATCGAATCGATAGCTCGAACGGAAGACAAATCAATGAAATCAAACGAACAGGTCAAATTGAGTCAAAATACGAAATCGACCAATCAATCCGGCGTGGAGGTTAATCTGCCGGCGATATCAATCCGGGGCAGCGGCTGGATGCGGCGACGGTGACGGACGCCGGCGACAGTGGCGGAGCGGCAGCTGTTGGCGGTCTACCTTGTTCAAAATCGAGGGGATAGAGACAAACCGAAATAGGAAACTGAAGAAGAAGAAGAAACTGACCTGAGCTAAGGGCGACGGCGGCGCTCGACGGTGATGAGCGGTGGACTTCCGGCGAAGGCGAAACAGCGGCGATTG